CCTGTATGTTTATAAACTATGTTAATCAAGTGTGACCATTAATTTGAATTAATATAGCAAATAATAAAAATAAACAAATTTACAAAATATTATCAAGTACAAATGAATAACCCTGTATATTAATAATTTATTTTAATTAATTGTGACTAGTAAAATTGAAAAACAATCCAGCCAAGTATAGAGCAAATAGGTTTATCAAATAATATCAAGGATTAATGAACAACCCTGTATAACATAAGACAAGTTGAATCAATTTGACAATTAAAAGTTAAACAACACATGGGATTAAAGAAAAGTAAATGTGTACACAAAATTTGACAAAACAATATACCTAATTTAGAATAACATGTTAATTTAGAATAGAACACCCGGTATGTGTTGCATAACTAATAATAAGGAAGAATATCTATAAATACCTTAATGAAAATGACGTCACAAAAAAAATGAAATTCGGTATGCATTTTATAGCGAAGAGAGCAGATGTTATCTTTCCTTAGAAACGACCGTTGTCAGGCGGATAAACAGTTTTTGGCAGTTTTGGAGTTTTTTGGCAGACATTTTGAATTTTTGGATTATCTAAAAATTAAAATTGAAAGAATTAAAGTTAAATTCAACAAAATCATATTCAATACTAAGATAATCATTTTGAAATAAATTTGTTCATAAACAAATATCAAAAATAAGTGGTTAGTTGTAGTAATTTGTAATACAAGGTAGGAAATAGTTACCTGGTGTATCTGAAGAAAGAACTAAATTGGAATCTTCAAGGAATTCACAAATGTCTAATGGGAAATTAGGCTAGAAAATACTCTGCATGGAGCTGGAGAAGTCACGTTCCTGAGTACAGATAAGTGGTAGCCTAAAATAAAGTGTTATACATAAATTGCCAGTAAAGTAGATACGTTCAATATTCATAAAGATTGCAACAATACTTACCAATTATATCGTATATTCATATACAGACAGCAAGAGAGTAATAAATGCAGTGGCATTTTTTTTAACGAACAACAAACGTGAAATAAAACTAAAATTTGTGGTTTGTCAAAGATTTCAATAAGGTGCTACATCTAGTGAAATTTTTGAACATGATTTAATTTTAGAGAATAGGCTTTTAGTTGCAAAAGAGGTTAGTGTGCAAATTAATAGATGGCACAATCTGTCGTTTTTAATTGCCTAATAAGTAGAATAGGTGTACTATTATATAATAAGATACAAATAAATTGGACTAATTTAATTGTACAGTTCATCAAATTTCTAGAGGCTTTCGACTGCTAGACAGAGAAAGCAGTAATGACAGGCATCCCGACGGATTTACGCAATGAAAGTACACTCTGCGCATCAAGTATTTCACTATTTCATTCAGACGTAAATGTCAGATGTAAATTTCGCTAAAACATTTCTTTTATTTTCGTTTGTGTTTTTTGCTCATTACAGTTTAATAGAACCTAAGTATGGAGTTTAATAGCAAATTAAAAGGCCGCGTGATTAACAGTCAATCTCGCGAAATAATAGCCAATGTTATAGAGTTTATGAGAAGAGAAGGAAACTTTAATTCACCTTCAATACCATTTAAAAATGTAAATGATCGTGTTGCTGCAGCCACAGGAGTATCTAAAAACACTGTCGTCCGCATTTCTGGAGAGAAAAAAAGAATCGATAACCGTGAGATATCGGAATTTTCATCACCAAGAAAAACCATTAAAAAACCAAAAACAGTTAATGATATAGATGAAGCTGCACAAGAATCAAATTTTATTTTTTTATTATTAGATAGCTATTTTTGTTTCTGAGTTGTGTTCATTTACAGGCTCAATTTTTTTCCGTTTCTCCTTTTTGATTTTATATGGGGTTTCAAGTTGTTTTTGACTTATTTTGACGTAAATCACAACAACACACTTTTTTAATAAAGCAAACAAGTGTTAAGAGGTATATGTACGTGTAAACTACAATTACAAAAAATTGATATGAAACCCATGAAACCACCAACAAAAATGTACTAGAACATGGTGTCATTCGTCGAGATAATTTATCGTTTTGTTTAATAGATCAAGAAATGTACATATTCCCCTGTTAGTTTTTATAAAATTATAAGAGAAATAAGTTTTTTTCTAAATAGTATAGTTTATTATTTTGTAGAAAAACAAAATTTCGAAAATTTTAGTAATGTTTCAGAAACAACCGTTATTAATAATAGGTACCATTTTCCTTAATAAGGTAGAAATAAAATATAAACTATTTCCACGATTTACAAAGGCCTACAAAAAAATTATAGGTATTTTCCGCTATCCTATAAAATTTATATTTTCTGACTCAATTTCAAAAGGTTGAAGGAATTCCAAAACACCTTTTATGGCATAATAATTATTTTCAATTCTACATACTATCTTTAGCTGCTTTTAAAAACGTTTTAAGAAAGTCCAATCAGACCAATTTAATCCCTAAACTATTCCACACTTTTAAAATTTAATTACCTAAAAATATTAAAAACTATTTAAAATAACTTGTTTAGCAGACTGTACAATAGCTATCTTAGTCACACGTAGCGCGTTCTCTGTCTGGGCGTCGAACACCTCTAGAAATTTGATGAACTGTAGTTGAAATTTGTACAATTAAAAAAAATAATTTCAACTATTAATAATAATTAATATCTAGATATAAGGTATTTATTGTTTAAGGTTTTCTGTGCATTATTTACATATTTTGGTTGATTTAATTGAAAATAAATTGATGTTCTTTTTTAAATTAAAAACAAATTTATTTCAA